TCTGTGTAGTTTTGGTGCCTGTCCTGGATCTTACTCTCTAGACCAGGCTGGCCTCGAACTCACAGAGATCCACCTGGCTCTGCCTCCCGAGTGCTGGGATTAAAGGACATGCACCACACCATCACCCGGCTATAATCCCTGTTCTTAAAAGATAACCCTTGCTGGGTGTGGTGGCAAACCCCTTTAATCCCAGCATTCAGGAGGCAGAGGCAGGGGAATCTCTGCCTGGTCTACAAAGATTTCCAGGATATGTTACACAGAGAAGAACTGTTTTGAAAAACCAAAACGCCCTCTCCCCCACCCCCCGGGTAGCGCAAAAGACAATCCTCTATTTTAGTAGGGCAATGGTGGCCATATCTTCAATCCAAGCAGAGGCAGGGGGAATCTCTGTGAGTTCGAGGCCAGCCTGGTCCTCATGGAGAGGTTCAAGACAGCCAGGACTATATAGCGAGACCTTGTTTTAAGACAATTATCTTGAACACAATAAGTTCTAACTCTCATTTCCACTGTGCGGCCTTTGGCCTCACCACCTACTCCACACAAAGGGGTTAGTTAGACTCTGGGTGGTTTCCAGATCCCAGCAGCTCATCCCTCTCCTCATCACGATACCCCTGGGAATGTCTCAGCACCTACCCAAGGGTCCAGGTCAATGCTAGGTCACCAACTTGTCCTAGTGAACCCCAAGGCTTTTGCCTGGACTATCTGAGCCCCTTCCCAACCCAGAGTCAAGAAGGACAGAGAGAGAGAGGACCCTCAGATACTCACGGTCATCAGCGTGTACAATCTGAAAGTTCTTGACGGAGGCCTGGGTGACCCGGCCCTGGAAGTTGAGGGTGTAGGAGCCGCTGTCCTCATTCCAGATGGGCGGCTTGTTATGTAGCTCAATGAGGCTCTCCAGCGTCTTGTTCTGCCAGCGGACCAGCAGCCCATCGCTGGACTGGGGTGCCCAAGGGGAGGTAACAAAGGATGGTTAGAGGTGGCCGGGCTCGCTCAGGGGGCAGGATGTGTGTGCTGCAAAGTCCACAGAGGGTCTTAGCAGATACGGGGAGGGCAGCACTGAGAACAGGTCTTGTTGGGGATGCTCCGGCAGAGAGCGGAAAGGCTCAGTTGGCACCCAGGAGGAGTTTTGTGCCACTCTTCATGTTCTGGTCTCCCACTGAACCTGGAGCTCATTGATTGAGCCAGACTGGGTGATCAATGCATTTGGGGATCCACCCATCTCCTCCTGCCCAGTGCTGGGTTACACACCAATGTGCCCAGCTTTTTCATGGGTGCTGGAGATCTCCACTCACCCTTTATTATTATTATTATTATTATTATTATTATTATTATTATTATTATTATTGTGTGTGTTGTCAGGGTCCCACATAGCCCAGGCTGGCATCAAACTCCCTGTGTAGCCGAGGATAACCTTACAGTTCCGATCCTCTTGCCTCTACCTCCTGAGGGCTGGGATTGTAGGCATGAACCATGATGCCTGGTTTTTATGGTGCTGGGGATGGAACCCAGCACCTAGTACCTGCCAGGTGAGCCACCGTGGCCCAGCAGGTAGCATTCTGATCACTGTGCTGTGTCATATTTGGACCTGGGTTCTTACTCACCGGACTTAGAAGTAGCGACCAGAACCTGCAAGGCCCGGCTTCCTAGCCAGATTGGCCTCCAATGACAGCCTGGCCTCCCAGCAGGGAGGATGAATGGGCAGCTGACAGGGGCATTATTTTCATCAGTCACCCAGGAGCATGGGACATGCCAGAGACCGGTGGGTCTCTGAAATCCTAGGCTCCCCCAGCCTGCAAGAGCAACAGAGCCCAGGACAGTTCCCCTCTTCTTCACACTGCACATGCTCCAGCTTGGCCTCTGTAGAGTGTCATTCCTTGGACCTTGTAAGTCATAGCTTAGAACCCTGCTATGACTTCCCAGCTCTCTCAGAGCAAAAGCCAGTTAAACAGGCACCCCCTGCCCCTTGGAACCACCTCTGCCCTCAAGTCCTTCATCCATGATGGTCACCTTACTGATCCTCTACCCATCAGGTACCTTCTGCCCCAGGGCCTTTGCACAGGCTGTCCTCTCTGGATGTCATTGCCCTAAACCTAGGTACCAGACGCTGAAGACCCTTCACCTTGCATCACTGAGGTCTGATATTGAAACCGTATGACAGGCATGTGCCTCAGCTGCCCCCTCTGGTCCTCTTGGCATCCCGTAACAGTTACCACCTTCTCCCTTCTCCCACCCTTTGCTCATTCATCACATCACTATCTGCTGTCTGCCCCC